GTCTTTTAACAGAGGACAGAAAGTTCAGCATCAAAATCAGAAGAGGCAATGGGTTAGCGAAAGTTGCCTTCGAAAAGCTAAGCAAAATATTAAGAAACATGGAAAATTTCGTTGGAACAAAGAAAAGAGTACTGAACTGTTTCGTAATGTCAGTCCTCCTATATGGCAGTGAATGCTGGAAATCTACTCGAAGATGAAAAAAAAAAAACTTAAAGCAAGAGAAATATGGTTCTACAGAAGGATGCTGAGAATATCATGGACTGAACATGTGAGCAACGAAAGTTTTAGAGAAAATGGAAACAAAAAGGAAAAGTTTAAATTTCTAGGAGACCTGATATGGAAAGCAGGCTCGGAAAATTTGACACTCACAGGATATACTGAAGGCAAGAAGGACAGAGGAAAAGTGCATAGACTAATGCACCTGTGTAAATGGTTAGCATAACAGGGTTTAAGAGAGATAGATAGGACAAAATACTAAGAGCTAAAAAGTACAGAAAATAGTGGAGAGCCTTGATCGTTCACGTCCTGAAGAGACATGAAACATAGAATAAGAATAATAATAAGAAGCAGCAGCCATTAATATTTCGGCTTTATGAAAATAATTTCTCTAATAATTTCGCCAGAAAATATTTTTACATTGAAAGTATTTTTTTGGTGTGTGTGTGTGTGGGGGGGAGATAATAATGGTTTAATGATACAAGTTTTATTAATTAACCGATAACTGCGGAGGAAATGATAACTTTCTTAAGGCTATTTGTGCGTAAGTGTATATAACGAACCGAAAGGGAATAGGAATTCGGCCTCTGCGTCAATACTCGATTTTTTAGCTCATCTGACTCTTATAAAATGTTGTAGCATACCTACGGACGATAATGGGTATGTCCCATTTCCATAAATACTGTAGTGAATTCTGTACGTGGTCTAGTATTGAAGATTTAGGCACATCGAGGTGGTGTAATGGTTAGCAAGCTTGTCTCGCTAGAAACAATTACGACTGAGTAGTGGGTTCGATCCTCACTGGGTGCCCCATACTTTCGGCCTAGTTACATATCTAAGCTACGCTTAGAAAATCACTAGTATTGGAGATTTAGGCACCTCGAGGTGGTTTAATGGTTAGAAAGCTTGTCTCACTAGAACAATTACAACTGAATCGTGAGTTCGATCCTCACTGGGTGCCTCATACTTTCGGCCTTGTGCCACATCTAAGCTACGCTTGGAAAATCACTAGTATTGGAGATTTAACCAGCCTTGTGCCACATGCAACCCTCGTCGGGGTGGGGGTGGTTAAATATTCTGGTATTGGAGATTCGTCTCCATATGTGCTGGTCAAACTCTCTTCCTCCGGGCAGAGTAGATCATTAGAAGAGTCTATATCGAAGGGCGGCACAGTCTTTTCTCGGGAAACAGTTACCCGACTCCCGTTTTATACGGGGTCTACGGAAAATTTTTGGTCACCCCACATTAAATTCGGCCTTGTGCCACATCTGATTGCGTTGGGAGGGTAGTAGATATCCTAAAGTTGGAGATCCATTGCGGAGTTCATTTGACTCACTTCTAGCAGTTGACTACTACTTCTACGCGCAGCTGCCGAATCTTGTGTTGTTCGTGTCCTAAGTATTATCGTTCATTACAAACCTTCGTTTGATTATTCTATTCGGTGACATTCATTAGGTTAAAACATAAGCACAGAGCATACATGAGGAGTCAGTTACTTTCTAGAATGGTACAAGGAAGCGAGTATTTTTCTAACAGCGTTAGCGATCGTTGAAGTCATGAAGATGTTTAAGCCTTACTAAGAGTACAACCATTTATTGGGACAGGAGAAAATTGAGGTCCTTCTCAGTGATGACGAAAGATTACTAGTTTGGTTTTGGAGGTTTTGAAGGAATGTTATAAGGTAGTCCCCCCCGCCATCTCGCTGAAAAGATTCGCCAGGAAAGATAATGTTTAATTACACGGAATACCACAGAAGTTGTACACAAAATCAGGGAAAGAGCATACAAGCAAAATATTTCTGCTTATATTTCTGCGATAAAGTACTGTAACTGTTTACTTTGTTGTTCTCATCTTCATTGCCATATTCACGACCTTTCGGCATTCTTCAGGTGATATACATTTGAGTAAATAAAGGTTTCGATTCGAAATTCCAAAGAATATCACAGAAGAAGTCCGGAACGACCAACGGCCGAAACATCGTGAATATGACTATAAAGATGAGGACAAAAGTTCGAAGGATGTACATAGTGTAAAAAGTAAAATATTTATTCAATAATTTTGAATATTGCAACTGTCTTTCCACCAACGATTCTTGCTTGGATGTGATGTTGGATCTTATGTACCCCTGCGGCCCAACGAGCTATACATACGGGAGTATTATTTCTATGATATCTCACCAACACAGATAGTTAGGGGTATAGGGATCAAATTAAATTAGAACCACAAGATGCCATAAGATACATAGGTGGACATAAGTGGATTTGATTATTGGAGGGTGGTGCCTATCTCAATCACAGTATACGACTAACAGTGTCACATATGATAGTGGAAATGAAAAAGTCTTATATTCAACGGGAATTATTAGTACGACTGTAGTTGGAATTTTTCACGGATGTGTTGTAGATTTGTGGCTTTTTCAATACCAAGGCATACATTTGGCATTGCTCATAGTGATTTTCACCTAAATTGGCTTCTACCATGGTCTTAGATTTTCCTATAGGGTTCAAAAATCTGCTACAGATATTTTAATAAAGATAGCGTCACATCACGAGTCTCGTAATCTATTAGAGTCGAATCATTAGAGTTAGAGGGGCACTACGTGTAATGTAGTCATAGTAGGCGTGGTATTCTTAACGCAAAATGACTTCCTTCCGTCAGGCTGGTTTTGAATTCTAAGTTTTCCTTCTCGTGGACCGGTTGCCACCTTAAAGAGAGGCTAGACCATGGGTCGGCAACTCATTCGACCCCGCGGGCCGGATCGTGTTATAATAACAGGTCGTGGGCCGGACGAAGGCCATTAATGAAAAATTAAGGAAAATTATATATGCAGACCCCTGTCACCCTAAATATTTAAAACCATAATGAAAATAAACATTGAGAAATCAGAAAAACAAAAGAAAATCTAAAATTAAAAAAAAACACCTAACAAAAATTACTTTTCCTCAAGGAACGTCAAAATACTTCAAAGTGAAAAAAATCAACCGAAGTGAAATGGATGAAGTGTAGGTTTGAAACTGTTATTGAAAATTATTCCACAAACGAACCACACACACACACACACACATCAAACAAAAACGAAGCTCATATACCCATACATACCAGTACAAATAGTTGCAAACATATACACTTACGTACGTACACATGCGGTATCATCCACACATTCATGAGGCATGTATGTATAATGCGCGTATGTTTAACTGTCTTTAGATTTCTGCTACCTCGCATGTCAGTCCCTCCCTGGCCTCTTTCACTTTATCGTTCCTTTCGCTTCTGTTATCTTTTAATGTAGCCAAGGGTCATAATAAATATTATAACATATATAACAAATCCATTATTTGACATTAAACGTAGGCAACGCAACTTGGTAAAATAAGTCTCATGAAAGATAACTGGCAGATAGTCTAATATTTTTAGTGCACTGAGATGTGTAGAATTTCTATGGAAAATGGCATATAACAAATTTCATTTGAAGGTCGTCTCTCATGTTAGAAATAGAGTCATTGGTAATCAGGCTCGCGGGCCGGTCAAAATACCTTCGCGGGCCGGATCCGTAGGTTGCCGACCCTTGGCCTAGACAGTAATTCTATTTTACAAGTATCTGGGAAGAGAAAAAGGTGGATCAATACGTTTTGTCAGTGTATTTGTACGAAATCGAACGTAACGAACTCGATCAGAATTCGAAATCAGTCGACAGATATCCCGTTTTTAGAGAGAACTAGAGCAATCTACCCCGGTGGATGAAATAAAGGGTTCAGTTCGAAATTCCAATCATCTGAAGAAGGCCGTAGAGTAAAATGCCCGAAACGTCGTGAATATGGCAATAAAAATGAGGACAGCACTCCGAACAATGGAAACAATGTAAATAATAACCCATAGCTGGTGGGAGAAGACGTGGAGGCATATAATCGACGTTGCTTAACGTCGGTGATCTTATAAAAATGGCTGTTTTCATGTGATGTGGCCGTAAGCAGTGGTTAGGTCGGTTGTTTTCGTTTAGCGACATATGAACATCAAAGGGTTAATGCCAAAATTTGATTAGTCTGAACGGATTTTTTTTTCAAATATAATAATGGTTTCAGTGATACAAGTCTTTATAATTAACCCACAGCTAGGGGAGAAGAGGCGAATCTCTACCTTTCCCAAGTGAATATAACAACCTGTGTCAACATTACTGTGAACGGGAATTCACTGGAGCAAGTGTCCAGTTTTAAATACTTGGAAGTAATCTTGTCTAAAGATGGTACCTGCAAATCGCAAATCGGTACACGGATTGCCGTAGCTATGGAAGCGATGGCCAAATTGGGGAAAACATGGAGGAGCAAAATCAACTTTCGAACAAAGTACAATCGCTCCATTCTCATATATTGACACTGTTGGCAGAAACAGAGAGAAGGATCCAAGAGTTTGAGAACAAATGCGTGAGAAAATTCCTTGGTATCTATTTTAAACATAAAACCAATGAGTTTGTACGGAAAAGGGTTGAAAGTTTTGTAGCCCACCAGGAAACTCTCCTCGCCACTGTCAAACGGAGAAAAATGGCGTGGTTTGGATACGTTACAGGGCACGACAGCGTGTGCAATACCATCATGAAAGTCATTGTTGAAAGTGGACGCCAAACCCAAAACTTGTTGGACAATGGACAAGTATGACTATATCAGAATTGTAGATGGCTGCCGTTGACAGACCGTTGTGGAGGAGATTCAATATGGCTTCTGCATCCGGATCACCCCTACGGTTACAAAAGTCAAGAGGATGTTGATGATGATGAATATAACGAACCCAACGGGAATTGGAATGCCGAATGTAATATGGATGGAAAAGTAAATTTCAAGGATGACTGAGATAGATGTCGTCATGCAGCCGTGTAAATTCGAGTTAGTTCGACACGATGATGGTGACTTGTTTAAAAAAGAAAACTTTTTGTAGGTATAAAAGAAAAGTATTGCTAAAAAATTCATGAGGGAAACACAGGATTTCCTTTATGTCAAAATGGCAGGTTTGATGTCATTCTTCAGAAAGATGAATAGGAAAGAGCATTGTTATGTAAAGTAATAGTAGTACTGGCAAAAACAACACGTTCTTGGATTTCAACTTGACAAAGATTGATGCAGCAACATGAAATAGTATAGAAAAGAAATAAAGACAAACTCTTGGCACTTATTTCGATGGCAGTTGGATGACGTTTAGGAATTCGACGGTAATTAATAGCCTGGTTGGCTAGAATTAAAAAACAAAAAACAACAACAGAACAATCAGTTTGAAGAAAAAAAGAATCTGCCGGCAAATGATATAAGAGTTTTAAAATATCAAGTTTACGACAGCCACTTATATCTAAAGGGAACAGCTTTTCACAAAATGATTATTTTGTTTCCAATGATAATAAACTTTATGCTGATTATGATATAATATTATACTTGATATAAAATTGGTCACTTGGATGTGATGCCATGTTAAGCAAACATGTTTAGCTAGATCAATTTTGAGTGGGTAGGGAGTTCGACCCTCACTGAATTCAGCACACTTTCGGCTTTCTGACACATCTATGCTTAGAAAATCGACGTGGCGTAATAGTAAACCTGATTTTCTAGATCAATTAAGACTGAAAAGTGAGTTAGATCCTTCCTGGGTTCACCAAACATTCGGCCATCGGACACATCTAAGCTACACTCATGCGCCCTTCGTCGTGAGCTGGTTTCACTAGATCAATTATTACTGAGTCGTGAGTTCGATCCTCACTGGGTGTTCTTAATTGCAGTCTTGCGGCACAACTAGGTTAGGCTTAGTAAGTCACTTGATATGAAATTTCCGGGGAGATTTATGTTGTCCAATATTTTGTTTTAAAATATATCTAAATATAGACACATTTCGAGAAAAAAGAGTTGAAACAAACAGAGAAAGGGAAAACGAGAAGTGAAAAGAAAGAAAGAAACAGAGAAAGAGAAAATATATACAGAAATTTAAAGAGAAAAAGAGTAAGGTAAGAAAAGAAATATCGATTGGTTCGTTATTTACAGCTTATCAACCCTTTGCAGGTTATTTAAAGCCAGAAAACATTCTCAGTTTGTAAGTATGTTTTGAGATAATAATGATTTAGAAATACAAGTCTTACTACTTAACCTATAGCTGCGAGGGAGACGAGTCATACCTTTCTTAAGGGTATTTGCGCGTAAGTGAATATAGGGAATCGAACGGGAATTGAAACTCAGGCCTCCGATTAACATTTCTTAACCATTATACATTACACCACCCGCGCATCCATGCTTACGGCACCTGTTATTCGCAAACGGTTACCCATAAGGGTACTGACCAGACTCGACGTTGTTTAACTTCGGTGATAGTACAGGAGCCCTTAAAATAAAGAGAGAAAGAGGAAGTGAGAGATGTACGAGAGAATAAGAGAGAAACAGAGAGGGAGAAGATATTTAGAGAAGTGTAAAGAGAAATAGAAAAAGAGAACGATGGAAAAAGAAAGAAGAAATGTGTTAGGAGAAAGAGTGAGACATGTAAAAAGGAAGGCGAAGAGTAAAGGACGAGAGAGAATGTGAGAAAGAGAATGTGAAAAAGAGAAAGTGAGCGATGAAAAGAGAAAAGGAGAAGAAACAGAAAATATAAGATGAGTAAAGAAAGAGAGAGAGAGAGAAAGTGAGAGTTGCTAAGAGAAACGGACAGCAAAAGGGAGAAAGAATGGGAGAAATATAGAAAAGAGAAGTACAAGAGTAAGGTAAGGAGAAAGAGAGAAGGTAAGGAGAAAGAGAGAGAAAAAAGAGAGATGGAAAGATAGAAATAGAAAGTGAGAGTTGGAAAGAGGAGGAGAAAAATAAGAGATAAAAGAGAGAGGTAGTGAGAAGCAAAAAGAGAAAGCAAGATGGATGGCAAAGTAAAGAGAGACAGAGAAAGGAATATATAGACAGAGAAAAGGAGAGTGATGAAGCGAGGGGAAAAGTGAATAGAGAAGAGAAATAGAAAGAGAATCGGAGAGTTGGAAAAGAGAGAAAAAATAAAGATAGAAAGATAGATAGATAGATAGATAGAGAGAAAGAAATAAAGAGATAGATAGAGAGAGAGAGAGAGAGAGAGAGAGAAAGAAATACATAGATAGATAGATAGATAGAGAGAGAGAGAGAGAGAAAGAGAGGCGGAAAAAGTGAGGGAGATGAAATGAGAGTATGAGAAACATATGAGAGTGAGAAAAATAATGGGAGAACGGGCAAAGTGATAAAAGAAAGTGAGAAAAAAAAGAGATATGGAACTAAGAAGGGAAGCAGATAGAGAGACGTTTGAAGAGAAAAGAGAGACATTGAAAAGGAGACATAGAGAGAGATAGTTAAATAGTAAAGAAAGAAAGACGGACAGAGAAAGGGAGGGAAAAATAGTTAGAGAAAGCGAAGTAGAGAGATGGAAAGGGAAAGAAAGAAAGTTAGAAATATGGAAGAAGAAAAGGAGCGAGAGAAAAGTGTCTATGTGTGAGGGAGTGCATGTGTGTGTGTGAGAGAGAGATAGAGAAAGAAATAAAGCGATAGATAGAGAGAGAGAGAAAGAAATAAAGAGATAGATAGAAAGAGAGAGAGAGAGAAAGAAATAAAGAGATAGATAGAGAGAGAGAGAGAAAGAAATAAAGAGATAGATAGATAGATAGAGAGAGAGAGAGAAAGAAATAAAGAGATAGATAGAGAGAGAGAGAGAGAAAGAAATACAGAGATAGATAGATAGATAGATAGAGAGAGAGAGAGAGAGAGAGAGAACTACAGATTTTTTGAGGGAAGTGAAATTCGACCTGATGATGAAAATCAGAACTAAATGCTATTAAAGAGGATACATTTTCATTTAGTATTCAACAATACATCTAGTAGAAATTATAAAGAAAGAGATCGACTCTTCAAAGAAACACTATTTAGCGAAAAATCTTCATGAATATTTTTCAGAACCAATTAAGTAAATCTTTTACAGAAAACTGCTTCAGAATTTGAAGGAACTAAAGCCTGCTTCTATATTTTTAGATATCAGTCGATTTAACAGTTTATATTCTACAACAAGAACGTTCGATGTAGAAGAAAAGATGGATTGAATGTAAATAATTTGCGAGGAAAGGCTTCAGATGTCTGTAATAAAATGCTTAAAGTTCTTACGCCGGTTTAAAAGACATAATTCTAATGAATATTTTTCATTTAAAAAAAAACAACCTTTTCTAAATAAATTGAAGGAAATGCATGTTTGTTAATCAATTTTCCCTCGAAAACATTTTTCTCTCGACTTCATGTGAACAGAAGTAAGTGTTTATAATCTAGGATATAATAAATAATAAAAAAGGCTGATTTTAGAATTAAATAGCTCAATATATGATAGTCAAGATCTCAAGAGGTTATTTCAGAATTTGGATGTTTTCTGTTAAAGAATTTATATTTACAAAAATCTACACCAAATTCTCCCGGAGTGAGGCTCTTCCATTGCACTCTGGTTGGTTCGTTGACCTTTGAGATCATTCCAAATTAGGGCGACTTCAGTACGCGAAAAACAGATATTTTTCTTCTTTTTTTTAAATTGTAGAAAAATTCCTTGTAAGTACCTCGAATATCATTGGCCCTCCCGAAATGTGAATAACTCCCTAATCTTTGGTAATTTTTCATTTTGAAAGTTGGAGTTGTTGCGAAGTAAGCTAAACAATTATTTACATTATTCGGACTATTGTCCCCATCTTTGTCGCCATATTTATTACAACGTTTCTCGAGGACACATGGCACAGTGGATAAAGTCGTTAGTTAGATCCAGTGACAGGACTCAAAGAGTGTGAGTTCAATACCCTGTTAAGGCAGTGGAGAACTTTCAGAGGGAAATTAGCAGATAACTGATAACTGACATCCATTAAACATGGCACGTGGAAGTTGAACTGTCTACCCCAGTGAACGAAATAAAGGGTTCAGTTCGACATTCCAACCACCTGAAGAAGGCCGTGGCGTACAGCGGCCGAAACGTTGTAATAAATATGGTGACAAAGATGAGGACAATTGTCCGAATAATGTAAATAATATACATAATACCTCATCTCAGAAATATAGACAGCTACTCAAGCTAAACAAATTTTGATTTATAATTTCAAAAGAGTGTCAAAAATTTAACAAAAAAAATACAAACTTGGATTATAAATTTAAAATTTCTTGGAGTTAGTTAATATTTGCGATAAGTAACTTTAAATTTGTTATTATAGTTATTCTCTCTGACAAGAGAAGATAACTCTCCTTTATGTAGTTATTTTCCAAGCGTAGATGTGGCACAAGTCCGAAGGTATTGGCACTCAGTGAGAACCGAACTCACTACCCAGTTGTAATTGTTCTATCGAGATAAGCTTGCTGACCATTACACCAACTCGAGGTTCCCAACTCTCCTGTATGTATAGCGATACTACCTTATTTACATATCACAACACTTCCTTGAATCTAAAAGGCTTTATACCTTTAGTTGATCTTTGACTTCTACGAACAACCCTGGGCGATATAATCCGTCTCTCAGAGTGAGTCTCTTTATTTCTTTTTATAGGAGATCTAGGTCTTAACTGATTCTCCTCATTTGGATCATCATGATACCTCTAGTCACTCTCATCCAGAGATTGTTCCTGACTACTACTGGATACACTCAATCTCTCCTCCCGCTCCTGAATTTCTTTCATATCTCTGGTGGTCTTCCTGATCATTCTCAATACTGCATTCATTAATCCTTTCTTGTGTTGTCTGTTTTGATTCCTTTTCCTCCTCTTTTTCCATAACTTCATGCTCTCTTGTGGTTCTAAATTGGTCTTTATGAATAAGTATGCCTTGTCCCTTCTTCGTTAGCATAGCCGTGTTAAATGCCATTTGCAGCACAAAATTCGCCATTTCAGGAATCGAATCCTTATCTTTTCTCTACCACACACTTTCATTCGTTGCAAATGACATGATAATCAGAGATCTTATTTGTCTTCCCATCAATGCGGATAGGCTTTGTCTTCTATCAGTTTGCGAGAAAGCTCTATAACTTAGGAGTAGTTTGCGTAAATAACTCTCTGTATCACAATCTAGTGGAGAGAATGCTTTTAATCCCATTTTTACCGTTTTCATCATTATCTCCACAATTCCATTTGTCTGTGGGTTGTAAGGTGGTATTTGTATGGAATTCAGCCAATGCATTTTAACCATGCTTTCTTCACAAAACTCAGGTGCATTATCAGAGACCGAGGAGTTTGGAACTTCATTTCTCGAAAAATCTATCCTCAAAATCCTCTTCACAGTATTTGCTTTTCTATCCGCAACTTTAATAACTTCAGGCCAACCTGAATACGAGTCGAAAAAAATATAATAGTCCTATACCTTTAATCTAGGAATGATCCATATTTACTCGTGTCCACGGTTCCATTTCCTTGGCCAAGAGTGAATTTTAGTTTGCTTAAATTTCTTTATTTCCGCACACTTTAGACACTTTTAACATTCACTTGCATGTCTTTCGATTAGCCTGGCCACCATGATTGCAACTTTAACCTCATTTGTGTATCCAATATACTTCCATACATATCATCATATACAGAATTAATTACCTCTTTTCTCAGAGACTGTGGAGGTACTATGATATGTACATTACATATAAGTCCTTTTCCTATTGTTAATTTGTCTTTTGACTCTTTATAAGGCCTCTCAGCCATAGAGCAATTATTCCATTTGTTCTATCCATAATTCTATTCAACAATGAATCCTGTCTAGTTTATAACCTAAGTCGATTTAAGAGTAAAACGTCCGTGTCTATACAGTGCAATATCTTTTCTTTACAATTTTCACTTGCTTCAACATTTTATCTCTCAAAATTGAACCGCGATAATGCATCTGCATGCGGAATAGTATTTCCTTTAATGTCAAAGTCGAACGCCATAATCTGAATCGCCCATCTTAATATCCTGGCAGATGTGACCTATGGTAACTCTCTTCTGCGGTTTAATATAAATTCCAAAGACTTATAATCAGATTTTAACAGTAATTTCCTTCGTAGCAAAAACTTTCTAGGTCTTTCCGTGCTCCACACAATTGCCAATGCCTCCTTCTTGTTATTCGAATAGTTTACCTCCGCTGACGTTAGTTTTCCGGATAAGTACATTACAGAGTGATCCCGCCCCCTGGGACAATATTGCAGCTATAGCATAGTTACTGGCATCAGTAGCTAAAGTTAGCTAGGCCGAATATTTTATCAACTGGTTTGTTTATGATTGCCTTTTTTTAATTTCTCGAAAGCAACCATATATTTGTCCACTGAAATTCTGTATTCTTCTTTTTTATTTAGTTAAATAGTTCCACAAGGTAATTATATCGCGGCAGATATGTGTTATAGAAATTAGTTAATCCTAAAAAAAAGATTCTAACACTTTTTGTTTATGGGTGCAGCTATCTCTGATATCTTATTAATGAGTCCGTCAATGGTAAGACGATAAACTACATCCGCGTCCTGGGTATGACAATAAACTACATCTGCGTCCTGGGTAAGACGATAAACTACATCCGCCTCCTGGGTAAGACGATAAACTACGTCCAACAGCAAGGTTTCTGATCAAGAGGTTTTGAGGAGCGTGGAAGTACCTCTTAATTGCTGATGTTCCCAGGTCCACCCTGATCCAGGGTGGTAGCACCTGTTAGGGTGCCAGCTATAGGCAAATAGTTAACCCCCAAAGTGGGATAAAAACACTATGAAAGTGTAAAAATAGTTTTTAATACCGGAAATACTTTGTAAAATAATATTACCAGCAATACATTTCAAAAGATTTCTGAAAGAAAAAAATATTACCAGAAATAGATTTTTGGAAAAAAAAAAATTGTCGTCATTAAATAACCCAATGAGGCTGATATGCCACAAAACAAAACAAACAAACCAACTATTAATGAGTTTACTATTTACATTATTCTAACCATTGTCTTCATATTTGCCGTCGTATTTATTACAACGTTACGGTCGCTTCTTGAACTGAACCTTTTATTTCTAGTTCTACGTGCCATGTATAATTTCCTTCTTCAAGTGCTCCACTGTCTTAAACGAGTATTGAACTCACACACTTTGGGTACTGTCACTGTCTCTAAACAACGCTTTTATCCACTGTGCCGTGTGTTTTTGAGTGCATCTGCGGATGAATTTCTGGGTATTATAAAACTAATGTCTTCAATAATCATTTTTTACCAGTGCTTATATTGAAATTTCTGCTGTTATCATTGCATGTTTTTACCAGAGATCATATTGCAATTTCTGTTGTTATTATCGCTTTTCTCTTTTAATGAGTTTATCATCTAACGATAAACCGTCTTTGGATATCTGAAATCCTAGGTAAGAATTCTTTTCACATTTATCGCGATTAATTTTCATACCCGCCCTATTTAACTTTCTCAAAACTTACATTTGAATTCTTCTTTATTGCGCGCACCATTGCCAATGTCGTCCTGATATACAATTATATTTTTAATTCCCTCTAAAAAAAATTTCGATGAATTTTTGGAAAATGTGACTTGGCGTTTTTAATTTAAACGGTAGACAAGTCCATCTTATTACTCCATTAGGGTTGTTCATTGTGATCTCTTCTTGAAACATGCTATCAATTGTTAACTGATTATAAGCTTACTTAAAGTCAACTTTAGCACAGTATTTCATACCATTACTTCGGAGGATTTATTTATATTTTCCACTCGCTTTTTATGTGTGCATACCGTCTAGAAATGATTCCTCTTTATACACTGAAAACATTATTTCCCAAAGACCGAACACTTATTTTTGCTCTTTTCATGTTCCTTATTGCAGTATTTGCATACAAGTAAGCTTTTAGTAGCACAATAAGTCTCCATACTGCATTCGAAGTTATTAAATTTTTGAATCAATTCTAATTGGTGTAAGAACAGATTCCTGTTATGTGCTTGAAGCCGCTTGTACGAGATGTCTAACATTCTTTCAATCAGTTTTAGCAAAATTAGCTCGTTTTTAATAGACATTTCTTCCCTACCCATTCTTTCAAACTCACAATATCTCGACGCTTCTATCAAACGCTGTACATATTGTATAATCGACTCGTCCGGTCACTCTACTTTCGAGAAAATTTAATTCTTTCGGCTATGACCAATCTTTTGTTTTCGTATATTTACTTTTATAATGGCA